ATCACATTTCTTCCCCATTCTGGTGTTTGATGTGAACATTAACTGAAGCTCCTGACCTGCATCTGCATTATTTTATATATGGTGCTGCTAACATATAATTTGCCGATTAGATATTTGCTTCAACAAGCAGTTAAATGGGTGTACCTAATAAAGTGGCCAGTGAGTGTATATTATACCTACTGACTTTCCATCCTTTCCAGCTGTTTTACTTCCAGTTGCTGACTACAAAACACAAAAGTTAAAGTTACATCACAGTAAAGAGTACAGATCATTCCGATTAGTATAGTATGTAAATCAATTTTATTAAACCCCCTGCTGGCAAGCAGAGGTGTTGCAGCCTTTCCCGGACCAAGCAGATAATGAAACCACAAATCAGTTGCTTAGAAGACACATTTTAATACAAGCTACTTATATCACTTTCAGTTTTATTAACATTTTTTTGGAGATGTGCTAGCAGTACTGGAATCCCCTGTGTTCCCTGATGCCCACTCACAACCCTCAGCAAGCCCTGCTCTACATTATGCCTGAGAACTTACAGGGTATGCTATTGGGCAGAGATCTGCTTTCATATTAAAAAGGAATCATTTATTGCTCATCCTCCCAGCCCACCTCATGCATACATTTATACAGACAGAGAAATCCATGGCTTATTTTTATTCCACAAAAAGCCAAAGCTGTTTACTGCACACAGTGGGAGGCAGTAAACTTAATAAATACAGATACAAGCTAAAAGATGGGTCAGTGTCCGGCTTTCTGAAGAGCACAGGCTCTGGGTGAGATGCCTGCTAGACATCTATCTAATCTGCAGAGGTAATTGTTCTTGTGAACAGATTTATGCAGCGTTATGGCAAAATTGCCATGGCAACATCACAGTGCTGCTACTGTGCGGAAAAAAAAAGTGACAATGTTTAAGGAACTGCCCTGAGGAACAGGAAGCAAGCGTGAATTCTGCAGTTTCTACTAGACAAACAGCCAGTGGAAGGAGACCCAGTTTATTGGATGAGGCTTGGAAGACAAGTCATTATGAAAAGGTAATATACTGTAGTTGTTTTTAACTATTAGAAAAACGAAACATTGCTTCTTCTGTAAGGAAATACATGCTAATTTCCCTGAAGCTGTTAGCAGTCCCATCCACCCCAGGTCTGAATCATAGAAACACTTCTGTTTTCCCAAGAAAATGAGCAGATGGACAGTGAATCATTACAGGCTGCACACTAAGCAGCAGCAAGCCTGGGCTGCACAGTGGACAGGGGAAGCTGAGGACCGCAGAAAGGCCAGAATCCTCAAACTCCTTCTTAGGATGCAAATTTACATCAAACCAATAACAGAAAGGAAGGTCCTTCCTGCAGGGGTCTGTCAGTGAGAGATGCTTCACTGGGAAAAAATGATAAAAATAAAAACCAACCTCACTGAGACTGTTTTCTTTGGTGTGCTGTACTGTCCATTGCGTAGCCACCGTTAACGCTTGCATTTTCAGTCAGGATGGTCACTCGGTTTTAGTCAGGATGGTCATGCAGCTGTTCACATAACCCCCAAAAGACAAAGAGCTGCAGGAACTCCTCAGTAAATCAACTTCAAGGCCGCTAATTGAGTTGAGAGGCAGCCATCAGCCACCATCCTGGTTTTTCTGCAGTGGAGGTCTCTGACTGGTGAGGTCAACATGAACGTGTCCAAATGGTCACTTAACTAGAACACAGCTAGCTGATTGGTTCAATAAGAAGCCATCTCCAATTGGCCGCTTTAGTATGAACATCTACGATTGGTTGGGAATCTCTGCTTTATTGGTTTGCATTCAGGCCTTTTTGGGGGTGTGCAGCATTGCAGTGTCTGGGGAGTCAAGGAGCTCCTTTGCGTCTGGTCAGTCAGTGCTGCTCAGCCCACATCCATAGGGGACATTCAGGTGGGGGGTTAGTCGCAGGTCTGTTAGGAGACGTTAGTAGTAGGGTTAGGTTTTGTTAGTGATTCCAGGTGGCCCAGAATGCCAGGGAAGAATTTGCTGCAGGATTATTATCTTGTCATAATCAGAGGGAGAATGCTGCATCAGTAGAGACAGGAACCAAAAAAGCAACAGACAGACACCAATGTCTCTGTCACACAAACCAACATGCATACCAATGGCAGACCGGCGCTGTCTGCACACGCCAGCCACCAGAGAAAGGTGCCTGTGCTCTGCTGCGCACGCCAGCCACCAGAGAAAGGTGCCTGTGCTCTGCCGCGCACGCCAGCCACCAGAGAAAGGTGCCTGTGCTCTGCCGCGCACGCCAGCCACCAGAGAAAGGTGCCTGTGCTCTGCCGCGCACGCCAGCCACCAGAGAAAGGTGTCTGTGCTCTGCCGCGCACGCC